CGGGGGGGGGGGGGATCGTGTGGGGTAAACGACGGGAAGAAGCTCCTGTCATTCTCTTCCAGTTAATACGGTCAGAGTCGTCTTGTTTCACTTCATCCTAAAAAATGTTGCTACTTAATCCCTGCCTGTTTGAGTCGCGCTTGTAGACCAGCCAATGAGACAACAAATAGTGCAATGCACGTAGCCCACCAGCAGAGGGCAGCAGCTGCATTCTCACCAACTACTCACCAACTGCCTCGATTCCAATTCACGGTGGACTTGGCAAGTGTAAGATTTTAGACACCGCTATTTTTAAATCTCCATTTCAGCAAAGGAGAATATGGTCAGGCTGAATAAAAATTAAGAAGTTAGTGTGGGCTCTCAGAGAAACACTCTGGAATAGTGAAATACCTTGGAACTTGGAGTTGGGAGACCTGGTTTCTGGTCTGTAGATACCTGTATCGCCTGAGACTGGGGCAACTCAGTTCACCTCCTCAGTGACTGCCTCATCAATACAGCCAACGTTGAGATATTTCAGATGGAAAATCTGGGCTTTTGAGTCACAGATTTTCATAGTGGGAAGAAACTTTAGACATCTTCTGGTCTAATCTCTCCTCATTTTACAGGTAATAGCATTAATAATGATGATAATAGTTAACACTTAGGTAGCATTTAGTATGTGCCAGACCCATATAATTTCTATTTATTCTGAATAGATATATACACACATATATATTTATATAGCTTTATAAAAAATGTTTTTTCTCACTTAATCCTCATAACAACCTTAGGAAAAAGGTACTAGTATTATCTCCATTTTACAGAGGAGGAAACTGAGCCACAGTGAGGTTAAGTGACTTCTCTGAGGTGTCACAGCAGCAAGTGGCAGAGCTATGATTAAAACACGGACAATTTGACCCCAGAGTCTGCACATTTAATTTTTATATTCTATAGTAGGAAAACTACAGCTTGCAGAGGTTACATGACTTATATTGGGGTGTCCAAATTACGGCAAGGCTAGGACCACGACCCATATAAGCTGATCTCTTCTCATGCTTTGCCCAATCAGTCATGTCTCCTTCACAAAGCTTTAGTTACCAACTACAGCAACACACACAATTAGCAGGCTTTGGTTTTTTTTTTTTTAATGAACCTAGCTTGTTTATCTGGAATGTATAATGCATGTTCTAATTATACATCAATGGCAAAATTTCCTACCCAGGGATGAAGACATATTTCTACTAAAAGTAATGGGTTGTGGATACTATTATTGAAGGATAGAATTGGACTTAGGATATGTTAATTTACAATTTATTTTGCTATTATACAACTGGCTTCATTTATTTAAAATCTGATGACAAAGTTTTAGCCTAAATGAAGTCAAGAGTCTTGGTTAAAGAGACAGCAGGACTGAAGCCCTAAAGGAAATATCGGGAGCTTTAGGTAGCTTTGAAGCAGCAGCAGCAAGTCTTGGGCCACTTTAATGCTACTCTTAGCTCCCTGAGCTGCTTTGCACATTTAATGGCATAGAGAATTAGAACCCAATTACATTCTTTTTAAAATAAATTCTAGTTTAGATTTGGGTTGGGGACTACTCCTAGTGGTTAATTCATCCTGGAAAATGCTATAATACATGTGAAAAATCTCTAATTTAAAAGAACATAGAGAAAGTATGAGGACACTGGGCTCCCAGACTGTACAGGGAGGTGACCATGGTGGCAGAAGCAACTGATTTGTCTGGGGGCCTGGGGAATCAGCTCAGCCATTTCTGGCCCCATTCAGGTATTAGTGTACTTTTAGCCAAAGTGCTGTGTTCAGGGACAACACTTTGGCTAAGCCCTATGGGTTTATTTTAGGATTGAATATTTGATAAGCAAACAGGACAGGTTCACTAGTGTTTATAGTGAGGTGAAAGCAAAGCTAAAGTGAATCAGGTCATTTTTCACGGTATCATGTCAGTTTTCAATCAAATCCTTATTCATTTCTGAAAATTTTACTTTCATTACAGTCTGCTTAAGGCTCAGCCAACCAAGATGTCATGACAAAAACGGAAGGTTTTTGTTCTAGTTCAAGAAAAAAAAAAAAAAAAAAAAAAGAAAGAAAGAAAGTAAGAAAGAAAGACAATATATATATATATTGTCTTTCTTTCTTACTTTCTTTCTTTCTTTCTTTTTTTCTTTTTTTTTTCTTGAACTAGAACAAAAACCTTCCGTTTTTGTCATGACATCTTGGTTGGCTGAGCCTTAAGCAGACTGTAATGAAAGTAAAATTTTCAGAAATGAATAAGGATTTGATTGAAATTTCTCTGCTAATCAAAAGAGCTGTGATACACCTTTAATGCTGTTCAGTGGTTAAAGACCAGGCTTAAAATGTCCCTGCTCTTGAGGATTTAAATTTAGACCCATAAAGAGATGCTTGTGTAAAAACCGTAAAGAACATTCAATTTGTTCTATTTGGAGGAAGATTTTACTGGAAATATAAATTTTCAGTTAAAAGATGTTTTATGGGGTACAGAGGTGGAGAAACCATCTGAAGAACACAGCCATTATTTCTGTGAACTGAGAATTTCTGTGCTTAAGTCAGAACCTGCTGGTTCTCTTCCATCTGAAGTCTTCATTCTCTCCTCGTATTAACTTAGTCATCTCCACAGCAACTAATTGAAATATCCCAAAGGACTATAACCTTGCGTGAGGAATCACCAGGAAGAGCAGATCAAATTCTAAAACTCAAAGGTTCTCATCAAAGTTTCTCTAATAATAGTGCCATACTTAAAAATTGATTAAATTTAGCAGAGGATGTTAACACAACTTTCTTGAAGTGGAAAGTTTCTCATTGTGTTATCAACATTTCTAGGTCACATCTCCTAAGAAGCAGCAACGTCCCAGCAATAAGGAAATGACAATTTTTTCTGTTTTGCACGGTGAGCCTTACATGGCATACATCAATTTCTTCACCAATATCTACAATCAAGTCATTTGGGCAAGTAAAGAAGCTAATTTCCCTTTAACATTTATAGTATACATTAGGGTTACAAAACTTAGATGCCTAGAGGGGCTGGGCAGATGATGGAAATGGGAGAAGTCAGGTGGGCCCATCTAAAGGTGTTAGCTTCTGACTGGTACCAGTTGGTTGTTGAGGTTTACTAACGCTGGCCCAGTGTAACTAGGTCATTTTTCCCCTCCCACAAGAAGCTGACAATCTGAATTTTTTGGTATAATTGTCCAAATTTAAATTTTGGCAATACATTAAAACATTTTAAAACTCGGTACTGGTCAACAACAAAAAAAAGGGGCCAGGTTCCGCTTGAGGACTGCCATTTCTTGTTACCTTAGATGTAGAGCAATACCTGAAATATAACACAAGTAAACACCAAACGAAGTTAATGTGGCCATGTCCTGAGCTTACAATTTTCCGCAGAATTTAAAGATTGCTTACATTCATTTTGTCCCATTTCCGATGCCGAGAGGTCCATGTATTACTGGATACGTCATGGCAAATAGCAGACAGCCAAAAGCAAGGGGTCAGGGTGGAATATGCAGTGGCCCACGTGGGAAAGGTGAATTGCATCATTTTAATAACAAAACTCATCGGAGACAAGTCAGACATCCCCCCTTTACTTCAAAGGGCATGAGTAGAACAGCCCCAGAGACACAAGCATGCCATTACCTAATTCTGCCATGGACACAGTTGGGGACGTCTCTCCATTGGTGAACGAACAGTAGGGAAAGAAGCCTGATGCTGGTGTGTAGTCACATATTGGTTCTGGTTTGATTCCATTGATATCAAGACCTGACTGGTCTGGGGAAGGCTGTATGTCCAGGTAGAAGCTGCTGACAGCAGAATCTGCCTTGCTCCCCTCGGGGGTGTGCCCGTCGATGTAGTTGCTGAGGTCATCATGCAGTTCCGTCAGCCCGTTGGCCGAGATGTTGTAGGTGGGCGTCAGTGGTTCAGCCTCTCCAGGCTGCTGTTGGTGGTCCCGCTGCTGCTGCTGCATCCGGTGTTTCTGCACTTCAGCATACAAGCTGTCTCTTTGCTTCTTCGACATGCGGCCAAATTTTACAGCTGGAAGAAAAAAGCCAAAGAACGCCATAAATATTGTGCTTTTCTTCATTATCCTCTCCTGTGTGCTTTAGGGTTTCCTTTGAAGTCTTAGACAATCTCAATCAAAAACCACACGACCACAAAATAAGGACAGAATTCAGAGGTGAAACCAGTTCTACCCCACGCAAGTTCACTCCATCCCCCCAAGCACCAGAGAAACAGAGTGTTCAGAAACAGACCCAGGATGGTTAGGAGAGACTCTGAGCAACACTGTCTCTTTTCTTGCTAGACTCCTTAAGTTACTAACATGTTCACTTTCTACCCATGCAGCTGGCCTGGACCCCCTCCTGCTCTCCCAGTGTTCAGATCAAGGTGCAGGGATGTGAAGATTCACAGGGCACGTGGAGGCACAAGCAGGTAATCTTTAATTTTCTTTCAGTTCACTGTTCTGTACACTCGAAGGAGGCTCTTCCTCATCAATTGGCCAAATCTGAGGCTTCATGGAGAGGCCTAAACAGACTGGACGCGGTCTTTGTAATTCCCTGAACTACATCTCCAAGTCCACCTGACCTAAGAAGCCTCCTTCCCCATTCACACATCATGGCAGCTCCTGTGAGACCCTTGGACCCATCTTTAAATGACATTTTCTGCTGTTCTCATTTAACCTCAAGTAAAAAGAGCTTCACGAGTTTGAAAGGGCAAACACTATATAAGATTCCTGTTGGGCAGATTTGTGTTTGCAGCACCTCTCCTTGAGATGTGTCCCCGTATTTAAAGTGGAGCAACAGCTATAGTAACTTTCTAGTTCATTCAGAATCTCAAGTGATTTCTCCTGAAACACCCAGATAATTTAAAACAACAACAACAACAACAAAAAACAAGAAACCCCCCAAGCCTATGATTTCCAGGTCTTTCTCTCACTAACTCATTTATTTCATAGCTAGACTCTGCATATGCAGATAAAGCCTCTGCTACAGGGGCTTGGTTCTCTTAATTGATTGTAGTTAAATTTACACCTGACCAGGCAGATAAATCATCCATTTGACCATCATCATAGTTATATGCATCTGGGGCAGGAGGCAGGATAGATGGAAATGAAACTGGGAACCAACACTGCCACATGGGCCAGCTGGTGGATGCTTTTCCTGCCAAGGAGGACGTGCTGTCCTTTTGCACAGAAGAAACAAGTAAGCTGGAATATTGGTCAATTTTTAGTTTCCACGACTCAGATGACAAACTTGAGTGGGGCTGGTTAGACAGCAACCAGGCTGATGTGGGCTCTGAATTTCAGGCTCAGAATTTTGTATGCCCCAACATTCATTCCAAACCCACAACGACTTGTGCTATTTCTTATATGCAACAATTCCAGAGGCATACTGAAGGTAGTTAATAGTTTTGAACAGAATACTCTAGAACACCCAAGGGGATTAATAGCCATAGGTAAACTCATTCTGCTGTGACTCTGCACTTGAATTTTAACTTTTGCTTTAATATTAACGACAGTAATCATAGCATCCTGTAAGTGAAATAAAAGGACCAGTTCTTGAGAAAGTGCATATACAACTTGTGGTTTTAACTTACAAATTCATAAGAGATATATCTAACTTGGTCAGTTTAGTGCCATTGGAAGATGAAATCTGCAGAGTTGAATGTCACAGGAATTCTGAGAACGTGGTAAAAGTTCTGTGACTTGTATCTTCCGATGACAAAAACTTCATTTTGTAGTGGCACACTGGGTGGCCTCTTAGAATTTGTAGGAACAAAAGTGAACTCTTGCTTGGGCGGGTCCACAGGCCCTAAGAACATCTGATTATGGGGAAGGCAGGCTTTTGAAAAGCCTGCCCCTCAACCTGAAGTATTTTTCCACAGGCTGAGATTCCATTGGAGGAGACGTTTTCCCGCAAAGAGATCTCTTAAGAGAGCCAGCCAGTATATTCGGAAAAAGTCTTTAAAACAGACCCGCTGAACTTTCTGCCCAGTTTCCATGTATAAGAATAACTGTCTTGAAATCTGGTGTTGATTATTTAGTGCACTTAAGATAGTTTTCCAGGAAGATCTCAGAATTTTTGGTGACTGAATGGTAGGCAGTCTCTATTCCTTAAAATAGCTTCTTTTAATGAAAAGAACATTTGTCATCGAGCCATGCTTTGCACTATTTTCACATGTGCTGTATGTACAAATATTTGACTTTGGCACGTGATTCCAAATATACAGTTAGCACAAAAGCTACTTCATCCCATCTGCCCATAAATTTACTAGTGTAAAGTAAGTAACCATTAGCTCTGGCTTGTGTTTCCTATGGGGGAAAGTGCCTGTAGGAGGTATATTTATTCAGGCTCTCAGGTGTCACGTACCTTCAATCAAGTTATCCACCTGTAATGTCTGAAACATCAAAAATCTGAAGGTGTTCTGATCACAAGAGACTTCTGCTCCACGTCCCCCTCCATCAGCCAGTCAGTGGGCTCCGATGGATAGTGGGGAGTAAGCAACTTCTGTGACTGCCACAAAGCTGCCAGAAGAGCAGGGGGAGTGGGGGTGGGGTGGGGGGGAGGAGGCCGAGGGGGCATATTTTGGCAGATCTGGGTCCAGGTTTCAGAAGGTGCTTTCACAACCCCATGCTACTGCACAATGCAAGCTGTGAGAGCTCACCATCTCGAGACATCCCCACGGCAAGGCATTTCTGTAATCGACAGTGCTGGCAGCGGTTTCTACTGGTTCGATCAATCAAACAGTTCTTCTGACGAGGACAGGAGTAGGTGGCATTGCTTTGCTGACTTCTCCTGAAAAAGCCCTGTGATTCAGTTATGAAATATAAAACAGGTTAGTGTCAGTTTGAGTGGTATGGTACTAAAGGCAGTATACTAAGTAAGCACTGAGGGGTATTAATATTTAATGGAGAATTAAACTTGTAGCAGAATCATTCAGGAGACCATTAATGAAATTAAAGTCACTTCTTTTTCCTTGAGTAAAATTGATCCCTAGAGCCTAATCCTCTCTCCCTTACATATGCAAAACTTTCTTTAACTTCAACAGACAGTTGCCTATATAAAAAGCACAGGATCCCCGTTCTGGGCTTCTGATAACCCAAAGCAATGTGCTTGAGGGAATGATACAAAGGGACTTATCTTTAACCTTTATCTCCAAAATATTTTTATTAAACTAAACACAAAACACTTCTCTGGGATGTCTACAGTTAAGGTAAATGCAGCCACACCATAACCCAGTGTGCTGCAATCCTGGTGCACTGTGGTCATCTCTTCATCCATGGCCCTTTTGGGGTCTCTCATTCCTCAAGTTAGGATCTACTGTCACAGCAGTTAGCTGACACTTGGATGGATTATTTTGGCAGATCAATCAGATTGGTAATAGTCTTTAACCCATGACAGTTTGGAAATAACATGTACTCAGAATCATGGCTTTGAAGATTTAACAAATCCAAACTGATCCTCAAGTTCTTATGTGTTGAGCACTGTTTTAGAAATGACGGAGGGTACAAAGATGCATAAGGAGCTACTGACCTCCAGGATTTTATTTTTACTTGTTTCCTCTGCTAACTTCCCAAGCTAGATTCTTAGCTCATTAATTTACAGTGTTTATTCTTTTCTTAAAGCTGCAAGTTTTCCTTTTAGATATGTTTTAGCACCATACCACAAGCTTTACTAGGCAGTATTTTCATTGTCATGCAGTTGAAAACATTCTAATTTTCAGTAGATTTCTTTTTTAATCCATATGTGACTTAGAAGCATTAGCTATCTTTTTATTATCAACTTATCTTTCATTGTTTTTGTAAGCTAGGGATGTATGCAGAAGAAAAATAAGGTAACTTGAGTCATTTTTATGAAGCAGAGCCAGGAAGCGTACAGAAGAGAATTATGTGCAAAGCTTTAATGGTGAAGACAGATGACCCCAACAAAGGGGACACAAGTGGAGAAGGGAGAGATAAAATCCTGAAGAACTGACAGAGTGGTGGGCAATCTGATAAGGGTATACTCCCATCAAAAGATTTTTCTGGAGGCCAATTTGGTAGTTGTATCAAAATTATTAAAAACATGCCTAGCCATTGAACCAGTAATTACCTTTTAAGGAATATACCATAAAGGAATATTAAAAATGGTACAAAGATTTACCTACAAGGATGTTTTTCACAGCACTATCTATAAAACAGAAAAATTTAGAAAGATCCTAAAAGTCTAACATTACCAAATTGTATGGATTCTGTGTGTCCATACAATGGAATCCAGCAACCACTAAAAATGGTATTTGAGAAATGCAATTATTCATATAAAAAGGTGATAAAAATATACTGCTAAATTTTTAAAAAGCAGCTAAAGAACTAAGCATAGTATAATCCAGTTTTAGAGAAAAAAACCCAGAAACCCATATATTCAACATAGAGGAAACTTTGGAAAATTACGTCCCCAAATGAAAAGAACCATTTGCTCTGGTTGATGGGGCCATGGGTGATTTAAATTTTCTTTTTGTTTATCTGTGCTTTCTATTTTTTTCCTTAAAAATAAGGAGGTGGAAAGGTATGTGAGTTATTTGGGAAGAAGAATCTAGTACATCTACTTTCTTTTGTATGGCTGGGGGCCTTTGTGGGCCAAATTGATGTGTATGATGTACACGACCTCATTTCCCAGTTCTGTACTTTTGAAAACCAACGTGGGTTGGGAGGGGGCAGGACCCTGCCTCTCACCCCCTCTTATTTTCTGCCAGGCTGCTTGCTAACCTAAACATGGGTGAGGCTGGCGACCCAGCATCTCACACTGTCTCTCTATTGTACTTTACATCCACCCTATATGAAGTCTGGCGTCTTCTGTAAAGCAATCTCCCTCTGCTCAAAATATCTAAAGCTGTCGGTTTGTGTGTGTGTGTGCACGCGTGTGTATGTTTTCTCCTGTAAAAAGGAAGGGAGAAGTAAAGCTTCCTTTGGGGCTTAATGGAGAGAATTCAAGAAAATACAATGGTAACAGAGGCAGAAAATCCTTTGAAAGAGATACCAAGAGGTCACCTGTCTAAGCATTCATTTTAGTCTGAGACACATAATCTCTGTCAAAGCTGAAAGGTGTTCATCTTTCTCGAGACTCCACCACCACTCGCACCGCCGGGCGTGTTATTGCTGTGGTGCCTAGGATCGGGAATCAATTTGCTTTTCCTTTAGTTGGGGTTGAATTTTGTTTGCTTCCCATTAAGCCTGTTCCAGTTTGTTTTATGGTCACCGAAGGTGGAGAATGTCTGAAAGATCTCTTTTTTTCTTTAAATGGAACCAAAACTGGAGGGCTGCCAAGCTATCTCCTAGATGCCTCCTCTGCAGACCAAGTCACAGCACGGGTCACCTTTCCTTCTAGGTTCTTTCCCACCTTTAGTATTTCTTCTTAGGATCCTCTCCAATTTCTTCACTTCTTTCAAAAGTTTGAAATCCAGAACTAGACACAGCTCTTGAATAACAGTTGGGTTATTAATGAAAAGGATGGCTGCTTTTTAGTGTCCATGTAGTACTTTAAGTTAACATCAAACCACTTTGAATCCAGTCCCAGAATGTTGGACGTGATACATAACCATCAGTTTGCTCTGCTGCAAGGGAACTGAGAGGACATGGTGATGATGATGATAGATAAGCTGATCAATCTTAATGTGTGCTTGTATTAATCATATGCTTTTATTCTGTATTTTGAATGCTTTGACATCTTGGGGCCTTGCTGACCCTAGAGGGACTGCTCTTCCCAGGGCTAGTTAATTCCTACAGATAGCAAACAACTTGCCTGCAGCATGCCCTTCACATGCAAACCAAACAATCCAGAGCCCTCACCCCAACCACCTCCTTTATCAGGCTCTTACACTTCCAGCAGCTATTCTCCTTCTCTGATCACCCCAGGGCCAGGTACCAGGCAGCTAGGCACAGTACCCCCTGTAATTATTCAAACCAGCCATTCCTAAGCCTGCTTACCCTGCCTTGCACACATTCCTTCCTGTGGGAACCTTGTACCGCCCCACCCACACTCTGCCTCTTGACGACCCTGGCGCTTCTCTGTGTGGCCCCCTTGCATGGCATGCCACGCCATGGATCCTGCTTCCAGGGATCTGTGAGAGTAATCTTCCGTCATGATGAATTCATTTCTATATCTCTGCGTCTTATGATATCTGATTGAAACAAATCCTGGGTTCCATTAAAACAGTGCTAACTACAAACTAGGCACTCTGGACTTTATATGGATTATGACGTTTAGTTTTGACAAGGGCTATATGAGGCACGTACTGTCATTTCTCTGGTTTTAAGGCCAAAGAAACTGAGGCTTCAAGAGGTGCAGTGACTTGCTCAGAGTTCCCACCTCCAGCAAGTGGTGACACCAGGACATAAATTCATGGAGTTTAATTCCAGAACTACACTGTTATCCTTTTTGTTTTTCTGCTTCCCTGTGTGTCAAAAGAACTTGTCCTTGATTGTTCTCATAGAGGGCAACCATTAAGTTAGTCAGTGTAAAAAAACAATGTATACATAACAAAGGAGCAAGACTGATGTACTCTGAAATTAGTGTTTTCCTTCTGATTAGTCTTGTTAGCTGAACTGGGTTGCCGCTGCCCAGGCATTTTACAAAATCCTCTTCTACAGCTGCCTCCTGATCTGGGTGGGGAGTCACATGAGGAAATCAGTCTCATGATTCCATAATTTTCCCTCATTTCTGACCAGAAGTATTATGCCCCTTTGTTTTGCCTTACTTATCTCTAAATCACTTTGGCTCATTTAAAAAACAAACAAACAAACAAACAAACAACAAAAACAAAACAGACTGCAAGGGCACAGAGTCAGTATTATTAAAGATGACTGAGTAATTATGACATCAATTGTAAGGCAAATCCTCAAGGCATTCCACATATGCTCTGAGCAGTGGCACAGTGGCTGGAGCCATTGTCTGGCTTCCCAGCTATCTAACTGGGAGAGGGCTACCCTTACTTAGATATCTCAGTTTTGAAGGGTTTGGGGAAAGCAAGCAGGCAGACACACCTAGTCTTCACACCATCATTTATTCTTCAGTTGAATCAGCTGAGCAAATGCCTACTAAAAAGCTCTGGGAGTGGCATGGACTAAGTCAACAGAATCACGCCCACAAGAAAAACCATCAAATACCAGATGAGAGAAGTCAAATGGGGTTATAAAGTGAGAGCTGCGACAGGAGAGACAGGCTAAGCCTCTGTGATTCAAACACTGAACTGTGTATTGCAGAAAAAATGAAGGTTTGGTCTTTCCTTTTTTAAAAACCTCTTCTTTTCAGCATTCTTTGGGGTTTCTTAGAGGTTTCAGGGTTTGGGAAGTTAAATTGATAAAACATCAAAAGCTGAAGGACACGTAGGAGAGTGAGACGAGGAAGAAGACAAGAAAGTAGAAAGTATGGTAGGCACCTTCCTACCTAAAGGTGCAGCTAGTGTGCTGCTAAGTACAGACACAGGATCTTGTCTGGTTAGGCAGCAATTGTGAAGGAGATCCCAATGAGAAATGAGTGAGCTGAGACATGAATTCCAGGGGCTGGGGAGGCTGAGGCCATATAGAGAGCAGGGGTAGCATAAGCCATTGCACGGAGTTCTGGGTGGAATTGAGGAGATGTGTACAAAAAAGAGAGTGTTGAAGTTGAGTTAGCTGGGAAAGACATTAAGTACATATTTTGCAATTTTATTATTTCTAAAAGATGAGCTAATGAATTACTTCTTTGGCTCTCATAAAAATTCACTTTTTATGAATGTCAAAATACATGGAGATGTGCAATTACAAACATGGTGGGCTTGAGCAGAGAGCCA